TCTTCAAAAAATTATTGGGTATATTGGCCTATGACTTGGAGAAGATTTGGAAGACCCATCAGTATATGGGGAAGTAGCTGAAGCTATGGGTCAAAAAAGAGAATCCTAGAGTACAACAATATTTTAACAATAAGTAGAATAGTAAGAAAAATCCAGAAGGAAGCTAAGAAGGAAGGGATGCAGTTATCAACTGGTATATGAAAAATAACTCAATATCACTAGTCACCAGAAAAATACAAATCAAAACCAAAATGAGGTATCAACTCACCTGTCAGAATGGTCATTATTAAACACATACACACACACAAAAACAACACACACATACAAAAAGACAACATATGTTGTAAGGATGTTGAGAAAAGGGAACCCTTGCTCATTGCTGGTGGGAATGTAAAATGGTACAGTTCCTGTGGGAAACAGTATGGCGGTTCTTAAAAAAAATTAAATGTAAAATTACCATATGATCCAGCAATTCCACTTCTGGGTATACACCAAGAGATTCAAGAGCAGGGACTCAAACAGATATTTATACACCCATGTTCATAGCAGTATTATTCACAATAGTGAACAAAGAAAAATCTGAATGTCCATTGACAGATTAATCGATATATAAAATATGGTATATAAATACAATGGAGTATTATTCAGCCTTAAAAAGAAATGCAATTCTGACATATGCTACAACATGGATGAACCTTGAAGACATTTTGCTAAGTGAAATAAGGCAGACACAAAAGGAAAAAATTTTTAATTCCACCTATATGAAGTATTTAAAATTCAGAGAGAGTAAAAATAGAATAGTGATTAATAGGGGCTGGAAGCTTGGAGAATGGGGAATTATTGTTTAACTAGAGGCCTGGTGCATGGATTCGTGCACTGGTGGGGTCCCTCGGCCTGGCCTGCAGGGATCGGGTGTCAGCTGACACCAGCTCTCCGACATCCCCGAAGGGGTCCTGAATTGTGAGCGGGCGCAGGCCAGGCTGAGGGACCCAAACGGTGCACAATCGGAGCCAGGGAGGGAATGCAGGAGGGCTCCAGAGCGTGTCTGGCCCATCTCGCCCAGACCCTATCCACTGGATACCAGCAGCAAGCTAACCTACTGGTCGGAGCATCTGACCCCTGGTGGTCAGTGCGCATCACAGCAACTGGTCAAACGAATGGTTGGACCCTTGGCATATTAGGCTTTCATTATACAGGATGGGTATTGAGATTCAATTTGGGATGATGTAAAGGTTCTGGAGATGGATAGTGGTGATAGGTGGTTACATAACAATTTGAACGTACTTAATGGCACTGAACCATACACTAAAACGGCTAATATGGTAAATTTTGTTATGTATATTTAACCACAAAAAGTTAAAAATAAATAATAATAAAGAACACCCAACCACTGAAATAGACTTATTTACTTCTCTCCAATTTACTTCATTTTTATCAACCATATTATATGCTAATATATTCAGCCCTTTTATTCTATACTTTATTGAACATTTACTTTTCTTATTACATAGCTGGTAAAAAGAACATGGCTATTTTCACTGTGCTTATAGCCAAATGGTGGTTTCATCTGACCCAAGTCAGTCCTGTCTCTTATAAATTGAATCAACGACAGCCTTCCTCTGGTAATTGGTAAGTAGATTTTCAAACTTTACATTTTTTACCTAGAAATCATTATGTACAAAATTATCTTACTTTTCCCAATAAAAGGGGCTTGGAAATTAGTTTTCACAAACAAGACCTTTTATCTATTAAAAATATTTTAGCCTTTGGCTTTGATTTTTCACATTGGCAGAAAATTTCTTGTTGATGAAATATTACTCATTGGGATCTTGACTTTTAAAAATTCTCTTATTATAGTTATTTTAATTGTGAAACTTTGGTCCTATGACAAACCAATTTTAGTACTCGATGTCTGATTGCAGAACTCATCACCTTCGGTATTTATTATTTTTTTCTCTTTTCAACATCAGAAGAGTAACTTTTTCTCTGCATTTGGTTGAAAGTACAGCTGTTCCCAAAGGAGCTCCCTAATTTGTACAGCCTTTCTGAATTCACTTGTAATCTTCTAATCAGTATCTTAAGACACTTTTTACCCTTCTTTAATTTTTCACTGATTTTACGTGATGAGCATGGCTCTCTTGATAGCAGCATGCACACTGTAATCTCAAAACATATCTTTGAGTCAGTGGATTTAAAGGATAATTTGATTTTATAGCTGGTGAACATGGTTCAATTAACTTCACCAGGTGTACTAATATAGTTACTTGATCTTGGGCTATATTTATAATCTTGTTGAAATTCAAGTAAGGAAACAGAAAAACTGATTTGCTACCTCCTATGCTTTAGCAACAACCTCACCAGAATACTATAGAAGGGATGTGGTAAGTGTTTGGAATGGTGCCAATAAGTACCTACATAGAGTTCAAACACTACAGTCTGGTGGGATGACTGGACACTCTTCAGTTGCTTACTTGAAATTATTACTTTATTTAGAATGTTTGTTCAAAGCATTTTGTGGCCAGGTAAGCTCTAGCCTTTTCTCAGCCACAGTTCTCTTAGAAAATTAAGCTAATGCCTTGAGACACCCACTGTATATAATAATTAATTTCTCTCCAATGTATCGAGAATGGGACAAGTACCATTGTTGGGAGAACTGAGAAATAGTCACTTGAATAATTTTGTGAATCCTGTTGTTCAAATAAGGAGCCCTGGTTGAGAAAGCCTGGATGGTGATACTGATGTGATTATTGGTTTACTCTCTTCATGTGTCATTGAATAAGAAGGGCTATTGGATCCAGAGAATCCATGACACAACAGGGCCAGGACTAATCATTACTAAATATATACTAAAATTGTTCTTTAAGATAAGTATTTCCCCCTAGTTAGATATAAGAAAAACAAAGCCAAGGGAGTTGAGTAAGTTGTGGTAGAATCTGGATCTGAACTCAGTTCTAGCTCCAGGGAAAAGATCTACCCCTTTCCACCATGAGACTGCCGCCATTAGCACTTCCAGCCTTAGCTGCTTCAAAGAAAATTCTAGGTATTAAAAAAAAAAATTTAAGCAGGCAAGTTAAGCAATAGGATTGCTTTGTATTTTACAGATAGGATTCTGACGGTGATATGGAGAATCACTTAGCAGAGAAACACACTAGAAGCATTTTACAATGAGACAAGTGAATATTGCAATGGTCTTGAATGAAGGAAGTGGCAGATGGGGAGAGATAATGATTCAAGAGTTACTTGGATAGAGATTGACTGATTAAGAGGTGGCCAAGGGAGGTGGGGAGAAGGGGAAAAGGAAATTATAAATGATATTAAGTTGGCCAATACCACTTGAGTAACTCAGAGATGCACATCTTGTTGATGGTAGGTCAGTGGTATTATCCTATACTAGGGGCCCAATGCACAAATTTGTGTACCTTGAAAGGAACTGTGGACTGTGAGGTTGAGGTGGGCACAGGGGCAGGTCTCGGCCCATCCTCTGCACCCCCGCCCGGCCCCTCCCGCCGCAGCCCCCAGTCCCGTCTGCCAGCAGCCCCGCTACCACCCGCTGACGATGCCGGCCCCATTCGCACCCGCTGATGGTGTGGAGTGATTGGGGCTGGCACCAGCAGCGGGTGTGAGCGGTGGCTGCTGCCTCGATTGCCCCTCAGGAGCAGGGGGAGGTAAAAGCCCTAAGGGGCTATTGGAGCAGGCAGCTGCTGCTCGCACCCACTGATGGTGCCAAGTGATTGGGGCCGGCGTCAGGCGCTGGCAGTGGGTGTGAATGGGGTCAATGTTGGCAGCAGGTGCAAGTGCCAGGTGGAACTGTGGTGCGCGGGAGCAAATAATTTTCAATAACCAGCAGAGGCTCGCCTGATGACAGCGACCGGTGCCCTGCCTTGGTCTGGTACCCCCACTCACCTGCTCCACCATCCCGCTGTGGCTAACGCCCGCCATGTTCCACTCTCTGCTGCCTACTGCCAACGCCTGCCATGGTCCACGTGCCTCCTGGTGGTCAGCACATGTCATAGTGACTGGTTGTTTGGTTGTTCTGCTGTTTGGTCTATTTGCATAGTAGGGTTTTGTATGTAGAGATAATAAAAGGCTGATATGCAAATCGACTGAACTGCAGAACAACCGGTAGCTATGACACACACTGACCACCAGGGGGCAGGCACTCAATGCCAGAGCTGCCCCCGGTGGTCAGTGCGCTCCTACAGGGGGAGCGCTGCCCAGCCAGAAGCAGGCCTAAGCTGTCAGTCAGACATCCCCTGAGGGCTCCCGGACTGCGAGAGGGCATAGGCCGGGCTGATGGATGCCCCCCGCCCCCCCGAGTACACAAATTTCATGCACTGGGCCTCTAGTCCTTATATAAGAAAGGCAACATAATAGTCACTTCTGTATATAAAAAACTATTCTTAGAAAAAAGTTTAAAAAAGAAAGCACTGTAAAAATTTTATTCATCCTAAGTGAAATTTAAGAACAGGAGAAGTATAAAGATGTGAACTAATAGCCATAATCTTTACTACTAGGACAATTCTGGCAATGCTAGATCTAATCCATGATAAGAGATGGGTAGTAAACTCACCAGAGGTGTAAAATATTTATCAGGCTAAAAATTAACCAGTCTATATTCTCTTAAAAAGGAGATTCTGGGTTAGGTCATCTCCAGGGGATCACACCAAGGGGCAGTGTGCACCTCTCCCATGGTTGCTTTTAACTTGATCAGTTATGGTCCCCATGGCTACTGGGCTTTCCCACCTGAGTGATTATGTTTAGCTCCTTTATACCCATTGCTGGCAGTCAGTCGTCCCATTCTCCTCCATGTAGCTTATGCTCCCATTTAGTACCCATTACAGTCTGGCCTACTTTCATCTATTACTTTAATCATCTTTTTATTATTCATGATAAGGCTATAAATAGAAAAGCAGTTAGGAGTCTAAACTGAAGTGTATATTAATATTTTCAAAGATGATCTAGGCATAGAAAAATAACATGAAAATATCTAATTAATGTACCTTTCAATTCTCTTCTTGTTTTCCTCCATTTTTTGATTTGCTATCTCTAACAGGAAGTCGATATATTCCTCTGTCACCATCAGTTTTCCCTTATGGCTTAATGGAACTTCTAAGCCATGTGTGCTCCGGACAGCCTTCAAGGAACAAGCAATTCAGACATGATGATTCATGTGCTAGAGATACTGAAGATAACTAAAGAAAATTCCAAGTTAGGGTTGTGTTTAAACATAGTTTAGCTCCATTACAGCATTTAGGTTTGTGCTTTGATATAAGTTAGCTAAACACAGTTGGATCACAGGAGATTAAATAGACTTTCCCTTCATGTAAAGTCATTTCTAAAGAAAGTCATTCTACACATTATTTTTCAGAGAAGCAGATACTATCAAAGAAGCCAATAACTTTTAACAGTTTCAATTTCACTAAAGCTTAGAAAGCTTTAATAGACTATTTAAAGAAAAGAAATAAATGAAATCTCAACAGAAGCTTCAAGGGAAAATCAAAATGGACTGGATTTGAAAGAGCCTCTTAGTGCTGCCTGAGTGGAGTGCAGTAATAAGAATAAGCCATGCCCGTTCTATCTCACAAAGTGGCTGCTTTCTTGATGCTTTAGGGCCAACCTTAGTAATCCTGTTGATGAAATAGTCAGCACGTTACAAGCAAATCCAAACACTGGATATAGATTAAGAACAACAACCAAAACTATCATGAGGAATAAAAATAAATTCAATGAAACTTTACTGAGTATCTGCAATGTAGGCCCTATGTAAGATGTGAAGATACAAGATGAATATAACATGGTTCCTTTAAGAGCTTACACTTTGGAATAAGACATAAACACGTGAACAAAAAATTGTAACACAACATAGGTGCTATGACAGGGGAAACACAAACATGTCCGCCCACATGCACTTGAGTGTGCACACGCACAAACCATTAAAGAAATGTAGAAGAGATACAACTAAATGAGACAGGCCTCAGTTTCGTGGGAAGGTGGCATTTGAGTTGGGATTTTAAAGGATAAGTTCAATTTTACCACATGTAAAATGGGGGAGGAACAACTTATTTATAGTTATGGAGACATGACAGAGCACGATATATTTTTTATTTGGCTGGAATATAAGTATGCTAGCAGAAGAGCATCAACAAGGTAGATGGAAAGTAGTTTGGGTAAGGCCTTGAATATCAGGGAAAATATTTGGAGACCCTCACTTTTTCAAAAGGGGGGGATTCTGAGAGTACTGGGTGGAGGGACTGAAGAAGATGGACAGCAGGAAGACCAGTCAGGAACCCTCTGTAAAGACAGGTGAGGGGCACTGAGGGCTTAAGTAGGGGCAATGACAGAGGGTTTGGAGAGGTGGACTCAGGTGTGAGATATAAGAGGCAGATGTGATAGGACTTGTAACTAATTGAATATGGAAGACAAAGGAGAGGAAGGTAGAAGAATGGCTCTGTTCTTGCTAGGTCACCAGATGCAGCAGGGAATGAGATGGGGACACAAACCAGAACTATGGGCATTGCTTTTCTAGTTAGTCATGCTTTACAGGGGTCTTCTTTTTTCCCTAAATTTAAAATATATGTATTTTTTATTGGTATTAGGAAGAGAGGAAGAGAAAGGGAGAAAGAAATATTGATATGAGCAGGATAGAAAATAGGAAAGGCTAGGGAGCTAGAATGGAGGACAATCTGAAACCAGTTCAAGAGCAAATAATACATGTCCTGCCAAACAATAAATGCAATCAGTAAATACTACAGCAGATCAGAATAAGGCAAATTTACCAGGGGCTAGCTTGGCCAGGAAAAGACTAAGAGAGGATGTGGAGCTTAGACGGTGCCTTAACGATTACCCAGTCCAGGGATCAGCGAACTTTTTCTGAGAAAGGACAGATAGTAAACATTTTCAACTTTGTGGACCATATAGTATCTGGCATAACTACTCAATTTTACCACTGTAACACAAAAGCAATCTTAGACAGTGATTCATCCAATTGGTGTAGTGGGATCCGATACCGCTGTGGGCTGGACTTGGCCCTATGGCAGTAGTTTGCTGGACCCCTGGTATGGCTGAGAAAATTCAGGCCCTGAGGGAGCTTACTCAAGTTCATTTAGCATAGCCGGGGGCCAGCCAGTATTTGTGCAGAGGGCTTTAGATCCCCTATCTGTGATTCTTTCCATGGTATCATGGTGCTTATTAAATTGGGGCTATTTAAGATGATGAGGGCACAGAGAATCAGGTTAAAAGTGGGAGAGTATACAGTACTATGAAATAAGACCGCAAATGTACATCTAGTATCTCTGGGACTTTGCCCTGTAGGAATAAATAAGTCACTGAAGGTTTCTGACACAGGGAATGGCAAGAAGATCTGAGTCAGGAGATACTAAAGGCAGGAGTCTAAGTACAAGTCTAAATTATTTCAATAACCTGGATCACTTCCTGCTCAAAGAATTACTTTTTGCCAAAAGGTATCTTACCAACATAGTCTTTCCTCTCTTCCCCACTGTTATGCCAGAGTTCCTGAAACCAGAATCTATTGCCACTGAATGCTGTAAAAAAATAAATTTGTTAGATTCTGATAACCTGACTAATCAGACAAACCGTTAAATTCTACAAACTGTAGAAACATATATAATCCCAAACCTACAGTTAATTAAAAACTACTTGATTAAACTACTGCATTAAATTTTGGCAGAAGTTGTACGGCTTAAGATTAAGTCTACCCACATACTAATAAATTCAAGCATAATTACAAAGTTTTACCAGAATCTGTGCATCCTGCAACTCTCGACACTGCACATGAAGAATAAGGGGTTCGAATTTCAAAGTGGCATCACCATTCGCTTTTTTCAAAGCTGCAATCTAAATTAAAAAATGTTAGTATTAGACACAAATATATGATCCTCTTCTTTTGAACCCCAGGACTTTTAGATTCCTTCAGCATCCTGTTCCCGAAATAACTTTTCACTCGGCTTTCTTGGTCCTTTCTCCAAAAACTTATTAATCTGCTTATTCTTTTAAAAGACTGATTTCTAATTCTCCCATATACCTCCTGTGTCATTCTTTCCGACCACGTTTTACAAAAGTAAACTATTACTGTATTTAATTCCATAACAGATTTTTCCATTAAGGAACAGGGATGTAAAGACTATAGTAGAAAGTCTGTTTAAATACTTGTTAGAAGTTGGACTGTTAGGTCTGAGCTAGAATTTATATAGGGCAGTTGTTATTTCTGTTTGCCTAATATTCCTGGGCAGCATCCTCCCTCTTTCACACGGGACTGTTAATAATGGCCCTGTCACTCATCACTCCCACTATCATAATATCAGAGATGCCAAGTGCCTAGGTCTGATCAAGGCTAGCATTCCATTCTATTGGCAAAAATAACTGATCTCGGGGGATGGCTCAGAGTCCTTTAGGAATGGTACATGAATCTTCTGAAGTCGTTTTCTGCTGGGGTTGCTAGTAGCTAACTTCCCTGACACAAAGATAATCTGTAGCAGAAGAGAATAAGGACAAATATGCACAGAGAATTAGTACCCAAGGAAGGAGATGGAAGTTGAATGAGTACCCATAGGACAACATTTGAGCACCTGAACCAGTACTGTACGTGCCTGATTAACACAAACTTATATGAACTCATTTAAACATTTCAATTTAGGCAACTAAATTATCCAGCATGATACAAAGATTTTCAAGAAGCAATTCAGGTAATGTATAATTTATTTATATCAGTATAATGGTAATCTATCTATACTAATAAAAGGGTAATATGCTAATTAGACCGGATAGACTGGACGTCTTCCGGACAAAGCCACGGTGGCGGGACAAAGCCACGGTGGCGGGGGCTGAGGCAGAGGTGATTAGGCGTGATCAGGCCAGCAGGGGAGAGTGATTAGGAGAGATTAGGCCAGCAGGGGAGCAGTTAGGGGTATCAGGCAGGCAGGCAAAGGGGTTAGGGGCGATTATACAGGCAGGCAGAGACGGTTAGGGGCTATTAGGGAGGCAGGCAGAGGAGGTTAGGGGCAATCAAGCAGGCAGGCAGAGTGGTTAGGGGCAATCAGGCAGGCAGGAAGGCAGGTGAGTGGTTAGGAGCCAGCAGTCCTGTATTATGAGAGAGTGCAGGCCGGGCTGAGGGGACCCTCCCCATCCCCCCACCCCCCCCCCCGCATGAATTTCGTGCACTGGGCCTCTAGTATATATATAAAGCCTAAGCAACTGAACGACCAGTTGCTATGATGCACACTGACCGTCAGGGGACAGATGTTCAATGCACAGGATTGGGTTCCCTCCTGTCTGGATCGGGCCTGGGGGGATTGGGCCAAAACTGGCTATCCAACATCCCCTGAGGGGTCCCAGATTTCGAGAGAGTGCAGGCCAGACCAAGTGACCCCACCGGTGCACGAATCCATGCACCGGGCCTCTAGTACATAGATAATGCTAATGACTTATTCCTTGCTCCCTTTCTCCCTTTTCCTTCCATGATTTGTACCAGGTTACTGAGTTACAGAATAGCTGAAATAAAATTCAATCTTTGGATCCAATATGCATCTGATGTCCATGAACTCTCTGCTATGTCCAAGAGGATGTGTTGTGTTGAGCAGCCGTAGTAATTCTTGCATACATATTTTTACTTTTATCTCCCACAACTCAGAAAAACCATCATAATGAATTCTCTTTAGGCTTTATGAATAATATTCAGGCATTATAATTATGCACAAAAATCACCTTAAATTTTCTATTTTTCACCTGTATTTAAAGTGACTGCGAATTAAAAAGTGTGATTTCTTTAAATTTACATATAAAAACTTACCACATCATCTTTTACACAAGGCTTGTGTGTAACTAGGAGCCAGCAACAGTTTTGTTTCTGAACCTCAAAGCCATTTATATTCTAAAATAAAAAATAACATAATCTAATGTAATCATACATTTACAAAAATAGCAAGTACAGTGAATGCATAACATATTGTAGGCTTTCTTAAATTAATAATCCCAAGTGGTGATTTTTAAATTAACGACCCCATTTTCTCTACACCAGCGATTTTCAACCTTTTTCATCTCATGGCACACATAAACTAATAACTAAAATTCTGCAGCACACACACACACACAAAAAAATTATATGTTTTGCCAATCTGAAAAAGCAACAACCAGGTGTAGTTTTGATTCATTCACACCGAAGGCTACTGTTGTGCTGGCTGTTGTCATTTTTGTATTTAACAACCTCGGGGAAAAGAGGTCAGTGCCCTTGACTAGTCAGGTCGTGCATGTTTTACAAATTAGTGTGACATGCCAGGGTGCCTGTCGCTGGAGATCGCTGCTCTTTATTGTCCTCACTTCATGACCCAGGGAGGGCGTGAGCTTAGATAACTGTGCTCAAGTCACACGGCCAGGAATTCCCAGAACCGGGCTGGAATCTACCCGGCATCACGCCACAGCCTCAGGGCTTCGCATCTCACACTAGACAGATAGATAGATAGATAGATAGATAGATAGATAGATAGATAGATAGATAGATAGATAGATGATAGATAGATGATAGATAGATAGATAGATAGATAGATAGATAGATAGATAGATAGATAGATAGATAGATATGGTAGACACTGTGCTTCCTCTGAGAGCAGTGATGACGGAGCGGCCGCCGGGAGGCAGGGGCCACCTCACCCGGCCACGCCCCCCCAGGCCCGCAGGCCGCGGTGCGGCCGCCAGCTGCGCCAGGCTGGAGTCTACGTTCCCTTCGATTTGGGAAAATCACATCCTCAGCCCTTGCACCTGCAGGTCACTGCCGGGCTGTCACTCTGGGGTTTGTGAGAATGGCGGACTAGCAGGCCCCGCGCTACACCTACAGGATCAGACTCCGGACTTTCCAAAGATCTCCAGGTGACTCACAGACACACTCACGTTTTTAAGGCCCTGGTCTAATCCACCCTCTAAATTTCATCGATAAGGAAACCGAGACCACCCACTAGGACACACACAAGCAGGCTGCACCGGGGTGTCGCCCGCGGTGGGCACAGGGCTCCTGGCGTGCCCACTAGCGGGCAGGCGCCGCCGGGAGGGCACCGAGCAGGCTCACCGCATCGAGGAGGAGGATGCGCCCCGCGCAGGAGCTGGTGGTAAAAAACTGTTCTCGCCCATTCAGGAGCTGCACGAGCTCGGCCACATCCTCGTCCACGCTGCCCTTCCGGCTGAGGTCCGCCTTGCTCAGACACTGCGCCTTCCATCTGCTGAACTCCGCGCGGCGCTCCATGCGGGGAGGGATTTGGGGTCTGCACTGTGCCGGCGGCCCTCGCCTGTCCTGGGGGCAGCCATATTGGAGCGACGGGTGCCGGGAAGGGCCAAACTTCCGCGGCGTCGCGCTCTCGGGAGGCCGTCTCCTGGGGGCGGGGCGAGGCGGGCGCGCGGGGCGGAGCCGGGATCGTGGGAGCCGGCCAGGCCCGCCCCCTCTTCGGTGGGGTCTGGGAGCTTTGGCGGGTGTGGGTTCCCGCTCCGGAACCGGTAAGTGGTTTTAAACAGCGCCCCGAGGTTGGGAGCTGATTTGTCTCTGGTTCCTGCAACTGCAGGGCCCCCGAGCTCTGTCTGCCGGGCCTTCCTCCTGCTTGTCCATCAGGTTTGCCATCTTACTTTTGGAGAGGAATGTGTGGTTTGTGTTTTTGTTCGTTTTTTTTTTTGTTTGTTTTTGTTTTTTACCTTTTTCCTCCATCTCCCCCACCTAGAATAATCTTCAAAGGAAAAAAAAAAAGTACAAAACACCCTGTTAACACATGGTTGGATGTTTACCCGGTCCCTCCAGGAGCCTTGCCACCGTGACCATAGAGGGTGTTAATGATTGAACCACTGAAAGGCTGAAGTTTGGACTGTCTGTCCGCAGCTAGTGGGTGGCTGTGGGAAGGCCTGGTCAGCAGCAGCAAACCCCACGGAGCTCAGCTCCCCGAGGTTGCAGGGCAGGTGGCCTGCCCGGTTCAGTTCCCACGGGAGAGCCTGGGGGTGGGGATGGGGGGAGGAGGTTAGAATTGTAGGTCACTAACTCCTCCAACCCCCTCTCCTGTGGGAGGTGAGTGGGGAGGAGGTCCTGGCCAGCACCCACCCGCCCAGGTCACAGCCAGGAAGAGACTTATCCTTGGCCACTTCTAACTTTTTAAAATTTCTTTGGGGTTAGGAATAATAAATAATGTGCTTACATGAGTCATTCTTTTTTTAAATTTTATTTTTATTTGTACTGATTTTAGAGAAGAAGGGAGGGAGAAAGAGAAACATCAATGATCAGAGAAAATAGATGATTGGCTCCCTCCTGCACACCCCTCAATGGGGATGAAGCAGTAAACTGGGCATGTACCCTGACATCCTATCCTATATCTCATATATTATATCCTAATGTGCAAATGGATCCAACAGCCAAATGACTGGTGACTATGACATGCACTGACCACCAGGGGGCAGACGCTCAATGCAGGTGCTGCCCCCTGGTGGTCAGTGAGCTCTGGGGAGTGCTGTTCAGCCAGAAGCAGCAGTGGCAGAAGCCTCTCCCACCTCCACTGCAGGCTGGCCATAAGGAGCAAGGGGGTCCCCGACTGTGAGAGGGATGTCTGACTGCCGGTTTAGGCCCAATCCCTGGTTGACACTCAACCCCGGGGGGATTGGGCCTAAGCTGGCAGGTGGACATCCCCCAAGGGGTCCCAGACTGTGAGAGGGCGCAGGCCGGGCTGAGGGACACCCTTCCCCCCCCCCAACCCCACTCCCAGTTAATGAATCTTGTGCACCAGGCCTCTAGTTATATAATGATTGATTAACTTCCCAAGGTTTTGTTTTGTTTTTTTATTTCTTGCCTAAAATTTTTATTTAATGTTACTTCTGTGTCTTTGCTCTGGCTTTGTAAATTGACCATGTTAAAATAGATTTCTAACATTTTCTTTATCCTTTACTTTTCATTTAAACCTAATGGATTCAAGTGTTGCATGGAGAAGATCACTGTTTGGGGAAGAATTTTAAATTCTGAATTTCCTAGATTTGCAAAGTATGGTTAGCAATTTTTCACAGATTAAACAATAAAAATGGAAACCAAGTTACTCTGGTGAAAAATTTAAAAGTTTGTATTTGATCAATAGAAAAAGTCATTTGAAGTACACTTTAATTAAAAAAAACAAACACAAGCAATGTGACAGACCTGCTGACTGCAAGTGATTTACTCTGAATGACAGAGCTTATTGCATGCTAGGTGTGCTGTGGCACACGCACCATGGCCGCTGCTCTTACTCCTCACAAAGATTCTATGCTAGGGATTATTGGCCCCATTTTACAGATAAGGAAATTATTAGTTCCCCTTTTAGAGTAATGTCCTGTATATCTCTAGTAGCTCCTCTAACTTATGGGCATTTGAGATCATTCAAATTGTAAGCAGATGCTTTGGTCATAAAATATGCAATGCTACCTGCAGGTTAGTTGAATTTCATATTTCTTTTTAAAAATATATTTTTATTTTTTAAAATATATTTTTATTAATTTCAGAGAGGTAGGGAGCAGGAGAGAGAGAATCATTGATTGGCTGCCTCCTGCACACTCACACTCAAGATCGAGCCTGCAACCTGGGCATGTATCCTGACTGGGAATCAACTCATGACCTCCTGGTTCAAAGGTTGACACTCAATCACTAAACCACATCGGCTGGGCCAAATTTCATATTTCTAACAGTCTGTCTCACTATCATCATAATAAAGTACATTCCTAAGAAATTAAGGTCCTCTTTGCCAACATTTCAAAGGGTGAGATGAAAAGGATTGTATAGTAAGAGAATAAAATCATCCAACAAAATTTAGGACATAGGACTTGGGTTCTAACGTTGTCTCTCTGTGACCTTGGTGAATCTCTTTACCTCTTGGAATATGTTCTCATCCATAAAATGGATGGTGATTTTATTTCCACTTTTTCATACAATTAGGTGGTGGTTTTAATAACCATTGCTTCTCTTCCAATTGTGAAAATAATTACATCAATGGATGTGAAAGATGTGCTTCTGAGAAGAAATCAGGTATTGCGGGGGCTTAAGAATTATCACAGTTTCTAATTGTGCGTTGCGTTATTTTATTCTTTTTATTATACCTTCTGACATAGCACCTGTATTATAAAGTGGATCATGACCCTGAGGGTAGCTGAGAGTGTTCAAAGGCAAGGAGTACAGACTGGAGCCTGATCAATCATAGTGGCAAAAGCTCAGTGGGAAATAAGATGGCCAGAAGCAAAGTGGAAGACAGAGCTGTCAGGGTCATGCCTGTCTCCTTACCGGCGCCACAGGATAATGTGATAGTTTTGGACAAAGCAGGGTATCTTCTAAACCCAGTATTAAGGATGAGTCTCCTCCTTACTTTGTTCTTTTCTCCCCATTTAGAAAATGTCAGAATGTAGAGGGGAAAAATGTACGTGCTAGATATTTTTGACAGATTCTATTTCAGGGTAATTTTGCTTTTATTATTGCTACAGTTTTTTGAGGATAATAGTGATGTCTGTTGGTGAAAAGATAAATGTGAGTGCATGAAAGAAATGAATAGGTAGAAGTGAGTAGATACTGAAAGCGGAAAAGGAGCTGCAAATCTTACCCAGTGTGTGTGTACATGTGAGGGAGGGAGTGGGAGTGAGCAGGAGCTGGGGAGGGGCTGAGGCATTTTCTCTTTGCCCTTTGTGTTCTCTGAGTTTAGCACAGTGCCTCCCTAACGATTGATGCTAAATAAAAATGTTGAATGAATAATGACCAATTTTGGTATTAATGTGTAGCTTACATCATTCTCTAGACTCTGAACTCTGGGGCTAAGGACTTGGTTTTACAACCAGAATCCTGTAAATATTGTAATAGTAAATCAAAGGTGATTATAGAATTATAGAATCAAGAATGTTTTCATTAATAAGAAATTAGAAAAGAGAAAATAGATGGGAAAGGAATAATGGTGTCTTCCATACATAGGAGTAAACCTCGGCCAGGTTCTGTACTTGGTGCTTGCCATGTCACTAGCACAGTAAAAAGTGTTCGGATGAAGAGGCTCAAAAAACTTGACTGCCTTGCCCAAGGCTACATGGCTAGTGAACAATAGAGCTGGGATTCATACTAAGAGCTGACAGATTTCTAAGCCCACACTTTCCCTAACACCATGCTGAAGGCAGAAAGGAAAAAAGGAAGTGGTGTTCTTATTTTCAGAATGGTAAACTCTGATCTAGGCAATCTTTTTTTTTTTTTCCTGTTTTATTTTTTTATAATTATTTTTGTCTAAGAAATACCCAGCTTAAGTGAAGATGGAAATACAGCAGTGAGGCCGTGGAGTAAGTAGTCTGCACAGGTCTTCCCACCCTCAGGGACTACTTAGCTGCCCCACCGTGCTCTAGATCTGTGCCTTTTGCCTGCTTCTGCCCCCTTTTATTCGAGGGTTGTCCTTCAGGATATATCATTGCTAAACAACCTTTCAGCAATGGAAGTGTTACTTTCTTCTCTGTGCTGGGTACTATGTTAAATCATTTTAAATAAAGGTTTTTTAATGATGCAACTTTTGACTAATTATACTAGGAGCTGTCTATTAAGAACACCATCAGATTGCTTTTAAAAAAAATTAAATTCTTTATTCTTTAATGTATTACATAAGTCTCCTCTTTTTCCCGTTGACCTCTCCATTCCTGCCCTCCCTCCATACATGGAATGACATTTTGTAATCAGCATGGACTCTGTTCTGAGTAGCCCTGTGTTGAACTTCCATTCAATAAAAGTCTGAATTCTTTCATCTCAAGTTCTAGTTTCTGCCACTCTATTTTAAAACTTTGTTTTCTTTTCATTTTAATGTTAACGGGGGTAGGCCAGAAAGGTTAACTGTAAATTACCCTTGCAATTTATAAAAGATGGCATACAAAGCAGTGTTTTTAGTTTTTAATGTTTTTCCTCCTTTGTTAAACTGACTGAACTTCATAAAGCAAAGTGTTTTAGCATTGATAAATACCAAAAACATAACGCTAAGAGGAAAAAGCAAGTTGCAGAATTAAGTACAGTACAATCTAATCTAAACAAAGTTTGAAAACATGCAAAAACAATAGCATATATTGCTTGGTAATGTATTCACAAGTAGTAGTGAGATAACATCATGCCTGGGAATGATGAGCACTGGGTTTGTGGTAATAGTTACCTCGTTACCTCGTGGAAGGGTGGGACAGAAGTGGGTTTGGGGATGGGTACCGGAGGCTTCAGTGATATCTATAATGTTTTAGGTTTTTAAAATGGTAAGATTTGTTAAAGGTGGGTGGCAGGTGAATGTGTTTATTGTATCTTTTGTATTTCTTTATGTATTTGAAATAATAATCTAACAAGAGAAGATCTATTTATCT